ATCTTATCCTATTCTTATTCTTATTCTATATTCTATTCTATATATTCCATTCCATTCTATTCTGATTCCTACTCCTATTCTATTCTAATTTCTATTCTATTCTTTCTATTCTATCCTGTCCTGTCCTATCTTATCCTATTCTTATTCTTATTCTATATTCTATTCTATATATTCCATTCCATTCTATTCTGATTCCTACTCCTATTCTATTCTAATTTCTATTCTATTCTTTCTATTCTATCCTGTCCTGTCCTATCTTATCCTATTCTTATTCTTATTCTATATTCTATTCTATATATTCCATTCCATTCTATTCTGATTCCTACTCCTATTCTATTCTATTACATTACATTACATTACATTACATTACATTATATTATATTATATTATATTATATTATATTCTTTCTGTGCCATGCTATGCTATTCTATGCTATTATATTCTATTCCCTATGCTGTGCTGTTCTGTTCTATTTTATTTTATTCTTTCTATGCCATGCTATTCTATTCTATGCTATTATATTCTATTATATCCTATTCTTTCTGTGCCATGGCTATGCCATGCTATTCTGTTCTATTCTATTCTATTCTATTCCCTATGCTATTATATTCTATTCCCTATGCTGTTCTATTCTGTTCTATTCTAGTCTTTCTATGCCATGCCATGATATGACATGCTATGCTATGCTATCTATGCTATTCTATGCTATTATATTCTATTCCTTATGCTGTGCTGTGCTGTTCTGTTCTGTTCTATTCTATATGCTATGCTATGCTATGAGTTTTGGGGGCAGTTTTGGTTCTGACTCGGGCAAGTGCTTATACCCTTCTTAAATTTTATCGTAGGGTTGCTCCCCTCCTTTTCAGGTGAAGGTTTTGAGATCTTCCCTTTCTTTCTTCTCCAGGAGCAAAGCCCCAGCAACCAGACCTCTATAGCAATGATGCAGGAGCCCCAAGAGAAGGTAGAGGAGACGGTGACCGTTGAAGAAGACCCTGGTACCCCCACGTCTCATGTTTCTATTGTGACTTCAGAAGACGGGACCACCAGAAGGACGGAGACAAAGGTAGGAAGTGATGGTTGCAACCTAGGGCTGGAAGGGACCTTGGAGGTCAACCGTTGCCGACCACAGATTTAACTCAGCTTCTGAATTAACCTCTAGGAGAAAATATTTGCAGCTCGGGATTGAACTGTGGGGTTTTGCTGCTCACAACCAAACTCAGAGAGCACCAAGGACCCCACAGAATTAACCTTTAAGACTCTGAGCTTGTTGATCAGAAAGGTCGGCAGTTCGGCAGTTCAAATCCCCAGTGCCGCATAACGGCTCCTGTGACTTGTCCCAGCTTCTGCCAACCTAGCAGTTCGAAAGCAAGTAAAAAATGCAAGTAGACAAATAGGAACCACCTTTGGTGGGAAGGGAACAGCGTTCCGTGCGCCTTCGGCATTGAGTCATGCCANATGGTGTAGGGTCTCCTGCTTGGGCAGGGGGTTGGGCTAGATGACCTACAAGGTCCCTTCCAACTCTGTTAATCCAATCTAAAGTTGGATCTTTTTCTGAGGAGTTTCTGTCCATCGTTTCTCGTCCTCTTTCGGGTGCTAGGGAGAATAAATTAGCCCCCCCTTCCTTGTGACAGCCCCTTGTGTGCTTGAGAGAAGCCTTCAACTATGAGTAACACCACTAAGTAACTCCATAGATTTAGAATCCGGTATTCCGCCGAGCATTTGTTATTTGGAGGTGTCATATCTATGAACGTAGCGTCTTGACCTAAGGAGGGGAGACTGCATAGAAATTGCTTTTAAATATGACAAAACCATTTCTTCTGAATAAGCAGTAAATGAGGCCTTTGAAACATGGCTATTTGCTGCAGTTATGGAGTGCATCCATTAGGACGACAGCGTGGCCCCTTCGGTCAGCTTAACCTCAAAAGTGTGAGCATTAAAGAGAAAACTCTAGACAACCAAGGAGAAAAATGCATAGATGAGGGTTTTTTTTTAAAATGCCAGCATTAAGAAAACGTACAGAAGGGAGAAGTGTTGTGGCCCGCTGGCGGCCGGCGGAGCTGGCAGCAGAGTCAGACAGTGAGGAGGTTGTAGAGGAACATGGGCCAGTCCTGGAGTCTGGGGAAGCCTCTGATGAGGGCTCTGCTTCGGAGGCAGAGAGGGAGCCAGACAGCAGTGAGGCAGAAGAACAGCTGGAGCCTATTCCCAGTGTGCACATGTGTAGAGCTGCCAGAAGACAAGAACAACTAAGAAAGCAGGGTCGACTTAAGAGTAAAGCCCCACCTTGGAGGTGATTGGCCCCTCCTATAGGAAACAAAAGAGGAGCGAATGGGGAGGGGGCTTTTGCAGGAAACAATTCATTCCTTCAGTTGGTTCAAGAGTAGAAAGTTCTGTTTGTGACTATAAGAGACTCTGTGCCAAGTATTGCCTTGCCCTGTGTTTGGAAACTTAACTATCTGGCAGCTCTCCAAGCGAGATAAGGTGCATGTGGATAAACATTCCTCTGAAAGACTGTTTGCCAAGCCTGGCTGACTATGAATGAAAGGAATTCACAATCGTGTAAATAAAAGGGGTTTTGCTGGGACCAAGACTCTGCTTCATGCTTTTTAAGGAAGCCTGGGTCAGAACAGGAAGGAAAGAGTGTCTTTAGCCAAATGAACCCCAAAATGCTGCAAATGTTCAGTTGATTTTTTTCTGAATAATAATAGTACAGGTAATTCCTCAAAAATTGAGCTCCAAATTTATGTTGCTAAGCAAGACTGTTGTTAAGTGAATCCCTGCTGTTGCTAAGTTAGGAACACCGTTGTTAAGTGAATCTGGCTTCCCCCTTGACTTTGCTGCTCAGAAGGTCGCCGAAGAGAATCATATGAAACTGGGGCACTGCAACCTTCATAAATATGAGTCAGTTGCCAAGCATCTGAATTTTGAACACGTGACCACGGGGATGCTGCAACGGTCATAAATGTGAAAAATCATCCTCAGTCCCTTTTTCCAGTGCTGTTGTAATTTTGAACGGTCATTAAATGGATGGTTGTAAGTTAAAGATGCCTTGTAATTGACGAAAAACCCTATTGGTCAATTGCACAAGGCAGCTTTATTCGGAACAACTTACATCCTGCAATGAGACGTTTAACACCATCAAACATCCACATCTGTGTGTCAATCCCAGGTCTTTGAGAAGGCAGACAAAAATGCCAGATCCAGTCTGAACATCTGGCTGACTCCACCGTGAACCATAATAACAATAATCTTTGCAAAATGTTGTCGGTGCGTTAAGAAATGTGCCAGGAAATGAAAAT